TTTTTTTTAATGAAATGATGTGAAAATAAATATTTTTAACAGATTTCATTTCATTTAAAAATGATTTTATATTCATGAGTCTGGAGCTGTGACCGAAGCGATCAGCGGAAATCTGAACGCTGATGGTGAAGGATCTGTTTGTTTGTTTACTTGTTTTGTTTCCATGGTGATGGAACATGCTGTTGTTTGTAAACATGATTCAGCTGCTTCAGCTTCTTGTGAAATCATCTCCGATGTGACGTCGCAGAAACTGGAGCTTCAAGTGTCAACACCTGATCATGTGACTGCCTCACGGTGATGTCATCACTCATGACAAACAATAAATAAATAAACAAAAAGAAAAAGGACCCTTTGGTGTTGTTCTTAGCTGTCCAACCAGAGTGCGTGCAGAGATGTGAGTGTGCTGGAGGACCTCGTCTTCTCAGCTTCAGGGTTAAGCCTGGGTTTAGGGTAAATCACCATGGCAACATGCTGTGAAGATCCAGATTACAGATCTCCGGGTATGACATCACTGCCTGCTGACCAATCAGTTCTCCAGAAAATATTGTTGCCATTCCTGAAAGATCCCTCACAGCTCTGTGAAGAGTCGGAGGCTGTTTTTTACTAGTGTGATGTTTTAATAAATAATAATTATTATTTCTGTCCAGTGAGCAGCATGAATCTCTGCTCCTGAAACAGGTCCGCTGCACCGGCTGAGCTCAGATTTGAACCTTTACTGTCAAACAGCAGCGAGTCTGCAGCTGAGAATGCGCAAAGCTGCGAGGGGAGGCTGTGCAGCCGGCGCCTTAGAAACCAACAGCAGCTCTGAGCGCGCTCAGTGATGAAACCGTTAACCAGAGTTAAAAGGTTTGTTGTGATTAACTGAAGAACTTTTACTGCTATATTTTCATGATCTTTTGTCACCGTTTGATAACGTGTGGAGCAGGTGGCGCTCACGAGGATCGTTTCTGTGGAGGAGGGGTCATGTGACCTGTGAAATGCCCCTTTGTGATTGGTCAGATGCTGGGTTAACTGGATTAAGCTGGGTTAACCCGGTTCGTGTGACCGCTTATCCTGATCACCAGCGTTAGGATAACTAAATCCAGATAAGAGAGGGACAGCTTGGATATGTTGAAGGGTGTGATACAGGTGAGTGCAAGTGTACCTGGTGCTGCCCTGCTTGTACATGTCAATGATGTTCTCCACCAGCAGGTTCCTCTGCAGGCCATAGACACCATGTCGGTCCAGAACCACCTCATGTCTGCAGGATGGGCAGCGGAAACGACCGCCGGACGTCACAGTGGAGCCACTCCGTGTCGACAGGTACGGGTTGGATGCCTGCAGGGGGCGGGGCATCACACGGGTAAGGAAAGAAAAGACGGTTCGTGAACTGAATTTCTGATGGAAGGTTTTAGACGTTTGTAAGTGAGAGCACAGAGAGCACAATGAAACACAAACAGGCCGACAGGTAAAGAAACAAGCTCCGCCCATCACCCTGATCTGGATAAAGAGGCTAACACCTGGAAGGAAGAAGAAGAAGCTTCATCTACAGGTACGAACAGCAACGCGAGAGAGGGAACAGACTTACGTGTGTGTGTGAGAGTGTGTGTGTGTGAGAGAATGTGTGTGTGTGTGTGTGTGTCTGTGTGTGCATGGGGGGGTCACGTGGGGCAGGAAGTGAGGTAAACAGTCCTCTCAGTCTCAGAGTACACATACCCAGTAATAAAAACTATAATGAGTAGTATAGAGAAAGTATTCAGTGCATCCTTATGTGTACAGGTGTGTATTTATACTGGCTGTTTTTCACAGAGCCTCGTGGAGGAAGAGCAGCTGAGATGAAGGTTGACCTCACCGACCGCCATCAGCCCGTGGGCCACGCTTTGCACCACTACACTGTTCCAACAAATGATCCTCCTTCAAACTGCCTGATTTCAGACGGGATAACTGTTCTTGAACGCACCAATGAGCCAGTTTGTGGTGTGTTCAAGGACAACACAACCCTGTAACATGAACTCTGAACGATCCTGCCACCTGTGTGTGTGTCTCACCTGGAAGACGTCGTTGGCACACTTGCGGCACAGGTTGTGTTGGCAAGGCAGGATGACCACCGGCTTGGTGAACATCTCCAGGCAGATGGGACAGATGAGCTGCTTCTCCAGACTCTCCATGACGCTGAGGACGCCGGCGAGGACAGAGAGAGGTGTCCCAGAGGAGACAGGAGCTGAGCAGGAGCAGCTGAGGAGTGTGTGAGTGTGTGGGGCCTGCAGCAGCTCTCAGACTGTTTTAGACGGCAGACGTCAGCCG